TTTTTTTTTTTGTTTCTTCCTGCCGTTAAAAGAAAGCACGGACTACGCCAAGACCAATTTTGCCCTCTTGAATTCCTCAAATGACTGCAAAAACGTCTTGACGACAGTCGCCCCCTGCACCGTGACCAACTGATCCAGCAGCAACGGAGAGTTCAGAAGCTCAAGTGCCCTACAGGCCATAGGATCGAAGATGCCAGCCGTCATGGACGCATCACTCAGCCCTCCTTCTCTCGTGTTGCCGTGGAGAGAGTCCATGAGGACACCGGTGCCAATTCGGAGGGACTCCACCAAAGGCAGCCAAGGTTGCGTGATGCTGAAGGTGTTTCTGCCACTGCTGCAGCCGCCACCGCTTTTGTCAGCGTTATCATTGGTCACAAGACACGACGAAGGTCCTTGAAACTCCTCCTCATTCAACCTCGCCTTCACCCTCATCGCTTCCGTCCGTCTGCAGAGCAGTGTTTCGGCAACTTCAAGGAGCGCGTGCATCGCTTCATAGCGATCAGCACGCTCGAGGGAAGCAAGGAGTGCAGGGTGAGTATTCTCGAAATTGGTGACCAACGCTGTGACGACAGTGCTCCGCAACGGACCAAATCTATTTAACGGCGAAGAGAACTCCTCACACCCCTCAATCAGTTCGCACCACTCTTCTAGTGCCTCTTCGTCGGTCGTATAGTCCGTAAAGGCTAGCAGGTCCAATACATGTTCCTGCAAAACCCGACCAACATCGTAACCAGTCATAGCCGCAAAACGCCTGGCTTCTGGCCAAAAACGCGACTCCATCAGCGCCTCCACAAATCGCTTCACAGCTGCTGCATACGCCGCCGCCGGTGGATTTTCAATCCAAAGGTCCGTGCAATCCACACGTCGGCTGGCATCCATTAGTTTTCGCTCGCAGAATGCCTGATAATGACGGCGACGCAACCACGGGAGATGTTCACGGTTCAATGGTCCCTTTGGAGACGCTTGCTCCGGTGAATGTGGGTACGTGGGTGAGCCGTATGCGGTGAGCATGGACGTCTCCCTGTCATCCTGCTGTAATTGCAATGGCGCAGTGGGCGCAATCAGCTCAACCGCTGTCACCGCGAGGGCAGTGATCTCTAGCACGGCCTCAACAGAGCTCGACCGAAGCGAAGAGCAACGAATAACAGTTGCAAGGTCCGTCATCATGCGTCCAGCCTGCCCGTATGCGTGGCGCTTGCAGAGGTAGCGATAGAGTCCTGTTGCCGCGCGCAATCGTGTGACGTCGGCTGCCGGCGACGCCGACTTGGTGGGAAGTCGTGCTGTGTACGCGTACCACTTGGACGCAAGAATGCTGTCCAGCTCAGCGCTGGAGTGCGTGAGGGAAACGAGGGCATCAAGGAGCCCCTGCGAAGAGGACGCCAACTCGACCACCTCACAAATCACCAGTAGCACCTGCTCCATGTACATGGGGGTCATGTCCAGCTCGGCTGCGCAACGCAGCACCTCCGCCAAGGAACGGAATGAGTCGTTAAAGCTGGGCTCGTCCAAAGCAGCCCGCGCAAGGAACATGTGTGTCTCTAGGCGAAGCTCCACAAGCGCCCGGTAGACCTTCGCGCCCGGTCCGCCCGCAAGCCGCACGTACTGCTCGAGCTCCACTAACTCCGTCAAAAACAACTCTCGTACCAGCGACCCACTCACACACGCACAGTTTGATCCATCAGGAGGGATGACGCGGCGCAGAAGCGCTACTCGGTATACCTTCGCAACGAGGGAAACATTGGCGAGCACCGCCCTCCACTCCTCCGCTCCAACGTCAGAAAAGGCAGTGTGTAAAGCACCGCCTTTACCGCAAGCAGACAAACCACCCTCGAGAAGCAGCGGCACAGCAACGGCCGCTGGCAGACTCGCCAGGTGGAAAGAAACAGCAAGACACATAGAGACCAGTTGTGAGGAGCGAGCTGTTCGACTCACCTCCAGGTCACGAAGAATGAGGAAGTGCTGTAAGCATGGGTAACGACGGGAGAGGAGGTTACACCACGTCGCAGAGGCTCGCATACCCACTGCCCCGTCGCACCGTCGCAGGCGATTTGCCACATACACAGCAAAGAGTGCATCCTCTCCTTCTTCGCCCCAGTCTGGCTTGGAGCACAGCAACACCTTTAGTACATCGGCCACAACGGTTTTACCAACCTCAGGTGCAATAGCCGCAGTAAAGGGGCCAGCAACATCAACCGCGTGGTATGCAGCCGAGAGAAACTCCAAAATAACACGTATACGTGGCAGTTCTAAACTTGTCATGTCGACCAAGCCAGATCCTATCCATCCAATGTAAGAGCAGACGAGGTATGCTATACGCGAAAGAAGGTCCCGCGAAATGGTGTGCTGAACAAACCGCCGAGAGAAGCTGCAGAAGGAAGCACTTCGCGAAGGTATTTCAACAAAAGCTGTGGCATGTTCAACTGCCGTTTTCATCGCCGCGTCGTCAACGAAGCCAGAGGGAACATATCCTTGTAGGTGAGCTGCACTCCGCAGAAGCTGAAAGCCTCCCAAAGTTAAGGCGACGGGCACACTCTGCACCGCACTGATTAGCAGCGCCGCGAGATTATCTGCCCCTTCTGCACATGATGCTGCCAACTCAACTCCCTCATCAAATGCCAGAGTGTTGCTGCATGAAGGACGAATATCATTTCGAACCACAGCGGGGATCAAATGAACCCATGGGAGTGGCAGTACGTTGCGGTTGGCCGTCATAACTGGCCGGCCTACGGCAATGGCGTTCTCTACCAACTGCTCGAGTGGGCTCATTTCAGTGGAGAGCACATGCGCCCGTATGTTTAAATGTACCTTTTCGATCAGAACCAGCTCTTCTCCCACAGACATCAGAGCATGCAGCGGAGAAGAATGGCAAAAGAAAACTTCTGCTCTTTCCATAAGCACACGAGCATTGGTGGCACGTGCATTGTGGTCTTCTGCCTCCCCTAACCCCTTTTGTGCTGTGATGACCTGCAGAATACCTGAGAGACCTTGCTGAGTGCTATGCATAAGCGAACCAATGGAGATAGAGGAGTGCATGCACACACCCTCCTCCATACCCACGTCCCAAAGAAGAGCGAGACGTCTTGTGTCCAACGCGACGCATGCCACTGGTGCGCTGGTCGCTGATGGCGGGTTGATCATCATTTTTTGCGCACAAGGGACTCTGTCACTGGTCTCGGTGACGGGTATACGCGACCACACACATCGACGGACCTCCTTTCCGCCAAAGCACGTGATCACATGCACATCGTCATTGACAAGCGTTGACCATTGTGTTACAACGTTAGAGACAAGCACCTCCTCCTTCGACAAAACGCATGGTGGTATGGGGCACACGGGACGCAGGTAGCTGTCGAAAAGCTCCAGTAATCCGTTGCTGCGGAAGAGCACAATGTACTGTGTCTGTTGTACAGCACTGATAGCCAAATACCGAGTGCGTCTCGCCTGTTTCCCATCCCATGGCCACGAAGGGAGCCACGACGACAAGCCGCTGCTGCGCGATGATTCTTCGATGCTTCCGGTGTGGCCTTTTGAGTCACGGAACTCGTCCTCAGCGAAAGTACCGTCTTCATACACTTCCACTCGCCACACGCTCGTCCCGTTGGTGAGCACAATGATAGAGAGCAAGTGTCTCGGCACCTTCTCATTCTCATGCGGCAAACACGCAACTATACAGGCGGAAAGTGAGGCACCGAAGCTATCACCTTCACTGCTCTCTTCATTTACGGTGTCATTCGTGAAGGAGTGACTATCTGCCTCGTTCTCAAACGTCGTGGCCACTCGTGAAAGGCGTGGCACCATCACCACCTTCCCGTCAGGAACAAGAAGCA